TTATCTTCCCTGTTTTCTTCGATAGCCTCTTCATCTTCATGTTGATCGATTATGAAATCCGATCTGCTTTGATCTGAGTGATCACCTTCTTCAGTTTGAGCATCAACCCCTGCTTCCATAGTCAAACTCTGTTTTTGGGTGTAATCCAAAACCTCCCAAGAAGGCTTAATTAGAATACATGGAGGGTAGAATTTATTCAACTTCATGCCACAGCAGGAACAGTTCAAGTTTTCATCCCCATTCTCAATAACTTTTTCATCGCCACTCTGAATCACGCCAATTTGCTTCATCCATGGAAAGAAAGCAAACTTCTTTGACCATTCTTCACAATCTGGCTGCGATGAGCAATCTTCACACATGTCTTGCGATTCAGCTAGTTTCTGGTGATTTGAGCAATAACCCAGTTTGGATATTTCATTGGCGTGTGTTTCACACACAAGATCTCTATGAGAATTCTTCTTCTTTCCGGGTTCTAAGAGATGATCAAGCCTAGAACACCAGAGGCAGGGTGTTTTAAGGCCAAAGTAATCAGCGAATTTTATAATTAGATAAGAAAACAGTGAATTGAGAAGAAGAAGGATGATCAAAATCCATTCAAGGAGTGTATAGACGAGAATAAGAGTGATCTTGTTGGTGTTTCTGTGCAACATGGTCGCAAACTTGTTGGCAGCCATTGATGAGGCTCTGTTCTTGGTATATACACAGAGAGAGAGAGAGAGAGAGAGAGAGAGAGAGAGAGAACAAAAAGAAATATGGAGAACCAGATATGGAACTCTTCAGAGGGGGAGAGAGAGAGAGAGATCAAATAGGAAATAGTAGTAGATGAGGAAGTGGTTTTATTTAGACTGTGGGAAGGCGGTTTGAAATGGAATTTGGAAATGGCAACCAACAACAGAAGACTCAGAGCTGATAAAAAAGGAAAATAAAATAAAAATTGGATTGAGTCAAAGAAAATTAAAGAATGTTTTTGAAGTATTTTATCTATATATAATACTTTTTTGACAGAATTAAGTAAAGCATTGGCAATTTGGCATTCAACAAGTAATAGATTACACAAAACGAATGATAAATGTCACTACTAGTCTTAGACAGATTGCTCTAGAAATGAAATGAGACATGGTTTCTACTTAGCTTTCTTTCATTTGTTTATCATAATTTGGGGTTTTGCAGTAAAATTCTCACTTGGTATGAAATGAATCCCAGCAGCACCGATGTCTTTCTTAGGCGCCCTCTCCTTGACAGCTCCACCCATTTCTTTTGTATTTAGAATTAGGGCAACAAAAATGGGGTGGCCCATCAACCACACCATTGAGTTGCGTTGGTGGACCACTCTCAAAGTAAGGTGTGGGTCACATTATGGATCCAGATGCTCCACTTCATAATGCAAGCTATTTTTTTTAAAGTATTTTAAGTAAAAGTACTTGCCTTGCAAGTTGCCACTGCTTTCCAATTCCGCTCCATTTCTTCTCATTCTATAAACGAATAATTTCTTCTTGAAATAGATTTTCTTATCAGAATTAATTCCATACTTACCCAAAAAGTAAAAATGAAAACTAGTTTCTGTACTGTACGTAATAAAAATATCAACAGTGATGCCGCTGTGTATCAATTCCATCCTTTTGAAAGGAAGGAACCAAAACCAAGCTTGTGATTGTGAAACAGTCCAAATTGCTTTTGCTTTGGTCAAGTTTATATCATGAATTCTTAATGTTTCGTCTTTGGCCCTACCAATGATATTCAGTCGATCCCGATGCTGCCAGCTACCTGCCTGCCACATGATCAGATGAGAAACCCAGTTTAACCTAGCTAGCTAGTTGCCTTTTTACTGTGGTTCTTGCAGAGTATGTATATGAAGGCGAATAGAATGCATGCACTTGCAAACTGTCAACTTCACATAGGATATAAAAACCTGAGCTCAATTATACGTTTCTTTAACATGACTTAAAATACGAGGGCAACCACACGGTACTAAATTGTCGTTAACCATAACTAATATGAATACAACTATATGTACACCATCCTCGTTCATATGAATAGAACTATATATACACTGTACTAAACTGTTAAGAATAAAATGATTTGTTTATTACAATTACGAACAAAATATAAAGCACAAGTTAAGTGTCTTGGTAATACTGTGAAGTCAAACTTTGTTTCAAAAGTTGATTACAAGCATCCCTTTTCCTTTATTACTCTTTAGGCTTTTAATTTTTGACCAACAAGGACAAATATTAATCCAAGATCCACAAAAGTAATTACCACAACGTATGTAGTGTCAGTATAAACAGGAAAAATACAATGTATAGAATACGTAGATAGAAGCTCAAGATTTACATCTTTGATTCTTCAAATTCTCAAAGCAATAATTAAAGATGTTCCCTAAATTCAAATCCCATAATCACATTTGTTTAGGAAGTAATTAGAATTAGTTGAAAATGCGCCAGATAGCTCCTAATGAATTCTTAAATCATCAAAGATTTCAAATTTGACGACTTAGGCAGGCAATTAGGTAGCAGCCAGCCACACATCCCTATGTTGAAATATTAAGAGGAGGGGCCCGTGGGAATCATGTACATAACTTGCGTGGTTACAAAGACATCATCTAACGTTACGGAAGGATCTAATTATATATATATTAAGTGACAAAGTATTTTGCTTAATCTTTTACATTAATTATACAAGGGACCCATTGCCCATTGGCAATGATGATATCTCTTAATCCTCAAATTTAATTTACAAAACCTACTGTCTCTTTGGCTCTCTGTATTTTATTGTGGATTGATTAGCAATTGTAATTTGTTAGTGGTGATGGAATTAGAAGAAATTAAATTAAAGGCATCTTTAAGTTTGGGTTTTTAGATCCACATATATGTAAGAGTGATCAGCTTTTGCATTAATGAAAGGCTGATCAACAAAGAGAAAGAGGTTTGTATGTGTATGTCATCATTTGGCCCCCCAAAACTATGGCCCTACACGAAGTGGCAGAATTTGACTCTGCACTGCATGTGCTTTCATTTACAACACCTACACGGGTGCTGAAAAAACATCATACATATGATATATGTATGTGTTCATACTCTGTTAGCATCCAACATATGAATGATCTTTCCAAGATTTCCAAGATTATATGCCTTTTCTGTTTACACGAACAATTACTTGATCGCTTTATAAGTTTCTGCTAATTATTCTTAGGAATATGTTGTCTGTCTGAATGAATAACCATGAAAATGTTGGTTTGGTTTGGTTCCTTGGTTCGTGTTCCAACCACGCATTTGAAAGATCACATAATCTTTCTTATTAAGTTTGAGCAAACATTCCAGACTTATATATATATTCTTGGTTAATTAACCAAAGCCAAAGGTACGTGCGGTGCGATGAGAATAATATGAGTTGTAGGGTTTGTGGTTAATTAGGGCCTCGGATCCTATGATTAACAACACAAGAAAGCAAATAATAATTTAGCTAGGTAAAACGCAACAGCTGTGCACACACAAATCATGGGATACCACTCGCAAGTGTTAAACAAAGAAGAAAAGAAGGAGGAAAAGAAAAGAAAGGGAATCAACATAAATGGGAGTGTATTTTGTTGTGTTTGGGGTTGTGATGGTAATGATGGTGTGTTTGAGTGTGTTTCAAAATGTGGGACAGTTTGTATGGCCCCTTACCCTACCCTTCTCTGTTTTTCTTTTGCTTTTGTGCAGCCTGCTCTGCTGCAAGCTCTCTTTCACCCTCTCCCTTCCCTTAATTTCTTTCTCCTTTATAACTTTCTGCCCTTAAATTCTTTGGCTTTTATTAATTCCTCACACGCGGCGCTCATAATGCAGATTCCAAATCAAACTATGCTGCTAAGTGGTGGGTTAACTTATGCTCCTGCTGCTTGCTTATAGTATTAAGCATGCAGATGCACAAGAAGAACTAATGAGATATTATAATATTACAAGCCACTTCCTTTACTCACGTTTCATCTTTCATGCGCACTACTAAGTCATCGTAGACATCGTGAGCCTGCCTGCCCAAAACTTACATATCTTGGACTACTTACTTGAGACAAAAGTAAACATCAACTGGTTTTGATAAGGTTATTGATTTTTGGACAAATCGTTACCCAAAAAATAAAAAAACAAAACAAAACGAAGTTCATTGAATTATGATTCTTTAATTTGGACACTACTTGCATAGTCCGTCATCAGGGTCAGCCAGCAGCATCAGGACCAACCATGAATCTGCTAAATTGAGAATAAAGAAACTCAAAAGGATTCAAGGGGACATGACATTAGGCATCCAACCAAAACCAAAAGCCAAAAGTAAGTAGACCAATTAATACATTGAAAGCCGCCCGGTAAGACACCACCCTCCCCTCTGTCCCTCTCTGCTAACTTGTTTTACAACAAATTCCAAGCAGCCCCCATTTCCCATGGGCCCTAACTATTGTAGGGTTTCTTGACCCCTCAAAACTTAAATTTAAATCAAATCCAAATGGTGTCATTGGTTTTGCTTTTCCTTTTTCCATGGAAATGGAATGGAATGGAATGAACATGCAAAGGAGCCCTATTATGCCCGTTTGCACAAACGGAGCAAAAGTATGGGTCAAGTTGTTCCCTGGCCACCTGATGATTATTAAATACAAGGATATGGGTGGCCTGTTTGATACATATTTATCCCTTTTCTTATCCAAATTTCCATTCCAGAAATTGTTAAAGCATCACATACATACATACACTATCCCATGCACGAGAGAGGAGAATGTCAAAAATTACATAACCTTTTCTTTTGATAAAACAAAATTACAAGAATTTCTAAAACGTACCAACTAATTATTACATTCTTCGCTATTCACTCGTCGACTTTTACACCAAACTTATGTTCATTCCGAACAATACCAAAACCCAGAACCCACTTTGCTATACTCACCAAAATACACCAAAACCAACCAACTTCATCGCGTGGATCAACACTTTCTTTTCTTCTTATGTATATAAATCATCAAGCGCATATGTCAATCACAGCAGCCCTGTGCTTCCAAATGGGTTGCTAGTTTGTGGGTGAGGAGCAGGAGGATGTGCAGGAAATGCCCCAAACCCGGTATCACCAAAAGGATTTGTTGGCCCCATCATCACATTCTGCTGCTGCGGCTGGTAGGTTGGTTGGAAAGGACCAAAGGGGTTGGACTGTTGTTGAGCCATTGCAGCCATTTGAACTCCAGGTGGGGGAGCAACATTGTTTGACAAAGCAAATGGGTCTTGGACCTCAAACGGATTCGGGGCCGGTGCTCCATAAACAGGTTGCTGAGCAGCCCTATATGCTCCTTCGTCGTATAAGCTGTTCAGAGTAAGTGAGTCTAACCCACCAGCCTGACAGACAGAAAACATGAATTAATCAGATTGCAAGCCTTTATCAAATAGTGAGAAGATATATCTGTACTTCATACGGTTAGAGACATGTATTTTTTATTTATAACAATGATCATGGACAACCGAAATAATGAAGGATAAAAACTGAAAATTTTAAATTCATGTGATGGGATGGGCCTACCAATTGCCTATCGTTAACTGATGAAATGTTGTTACTTGGAGTGGTAACCAGGGCAAGTTCCCATCCAGTAGGATCAAAATCTTTTGGCTGCACAGCACTAGAATTGAATGTTGGAGCTGCATCTGCAAATAAAAGTGGGAGAAAATACAAGCCACCAGAGTCAGATGTCAGGGTGGCTTTATTTGAAAAGTGAAGAGAAATAATGAAACAAAATGTTACCAGTTTCAGATGAAACTATGGCTAAAGCCAAAGCATTTCTTTCCTCCATCACAGATACATCAGCTGCAGTATAATCCAAACCCTGAACCCACAAAAGGAGATTTATTGGGGCGAACAAATTGGAAAAACAGATAAAAGAGTAAGAAGCTTTGTAGAATAAAAAGAAACAAAAACAGAGTAAAAGCTTAAAAGAAAGAAGAACTGATAATGTACCAGTAAATCTCCTGTGTCCTGGCTACTTTGAGGGGGAGGAGGTGGCGGTGGGGAAGGAGTTGCAGTCTCAACATTTGACACAGGTACAATGTCTAGAGGTGCTGGCTCAGATTCATCACTGGATAACTTTGTGTCTTCAGAAGGCTCTTCTGGTCTATATGTCAACTGAAGCTGTTCACAACGACCAGATATTAATTATCTATATCAAAAGAAATTTCCATTGATAAACGAACTTAAGTGGTCAAAAATCAGAACGCTAGAAAATCTACTTAAGTGGTCAAAACTTAAGTCAAAGACGATAAAATTGAAATAGTTTTTGGCGACAAGGTATCTCCGATCAGGCAAAGAAGAAAAAGAAAAAGAAAGAATACCAACCAATGGCTCATGTGGAACTGAAACAGCCCGTGGTGCCTCTCTTATATACTCTTCCATTGTTGTGAGGAAGGATTGCGGAGGCTGAAAAAGTGACAACAAAGTATTTAGTATAAACTGAGAAACTTGCAAAAAAGGAATTCAAACAAATACATTGGATCCCTGTAAGACCTCTCTCAAAACGGGAAACTGGAAATTCCTAGCAAGTTCCAATCCTTTGCAAACTTCATAAAAATCAGAGAGACCTGCAGCCTGCATCAAAGACCAAAGATGTCTTTAATAGAGCAGCATTAGCCTAAGCCACTTGACCTTAGATCATCAATAACTGATGCTGCTATAGCAATCAATAAAAATAATCAACTCATAAGTGAGACCAAAATTATTGCAGATCTTAACCTGCTGACCAGCTCGTTTATAAACATCAAGGGCTTTAACTGCTTCATGTCTTGGCATCTCAAAAAACTGCAAAAAAAGCAGACTTCTTACAGCAGGAAAATTCGAGAAACAAATAGCAATTGTTAACGTAGTATTTGCATGAATGATATAACTGATTAACCTTATCAACAAGATTTATAATTCCATCATTGACAGCACAATAAATTTTAAAGCTCTCTTTCAGCACCTGAAAATACAGAGTAAAAAAGGTAAGATATAAAATCAAATAGAGCCCTTTGTCTGTTATTTGTTAAACTGGCTTTAACAGCTTAATGACTAAAGCTCTCTTTTTGATACTCCATTAACAATCTAAATAACATTTTCAAATCTGGGAGAAAATAAAACAAAACTGGACTTGCAGGTCATACCAGGGCCAGCGCATACTGTATAACGTAGTTGGCGACAGCTGCTCCTTCTGGCTGTAAAGTCAGAAAGCAACATAAATTATTTTGCACAAATATATTAATAGGATAAAAACAAGATTTGTACACTTGTTTGGATGAAAAATATAAATAGCAAGTTCCTGATATGCTACCCGGCAACCAATAAGGTGATACAGCAGCTGTTGTAGAGCAGGCAACTGCTCCAAGAGTTCCTCACTATCCAATTCTCGGGTTCTACTGTAACCCTGTAAGTATTTAAGAAAAGAAAAGGAAATATATGGTGAACCGTAAGAAATAACGATCATTTTGTAAGGAAAAAGAAAGCATCTGAACCTAGGAGTCATCATCTAATCCTAATTAGTAATGGACTCTGGAAAAAATAAAGGTTTATGAGACAACTTAAAAGTTGATAATTAATAAACAGAGAAAAATTTGAAGGTAATGCAAAATCATGTTCTACTTTTGAATTCATATTTGTCACTCAGTTGTTCTTTCTATGTATATAAAAAAAAGCTGTTATAGTGCTTTGTGCTTATTATCAAGAAAAAGGTATGACGAGTTATTTGGTAAGTACCTTCTCCTGCCCCTGGGCAGGCCTTGGAAGACGTTCAGCTTCAATGTCATACTTCAGAACCCTAAAGCATTCAAGTCGTTCCTCCAAAAACAATGCATAAGTACGCACCCAGGCAGAGCAATCCCAAGCTGCAGAGGAGGAAAAGCAATGTCATAATCATCAATTAGTTATTGTTGAGCTATAGATGTGTTTGTGTTCAAAATCATCATGTTTTGGTAAAAGATGTGTTGTGTTTCTTCAATTTGGAATTCAAAATCAATGTCATAATTTCAAGTACTGCAACTCATAGCTCGTAATGACAGGCAGATGAGAAGGGCAAAGAATGAGAGAGATTTAAGGCGTTTTAAATTCACCAATAGGACTGGAATCGTCTTTGAAATTAGAAAGCTGGAGAATTCGTCCTCTCTGAGAGAAATTTAGAAGTTCTTCTCTGAAAGTAGGATCACCCTCCCGCAAAGTCCTGTGGATAACTATCAATGTTTTTAAAGCCACCTGCCAATGCCAAACACAGAAATGATACATGCAAGTTTAGCAGGAAAGAATAAATATATACACACACATAAGCATATTTATCCATAAGAAAATGATGGGCCATATATTGCTAACAGGAAAACGTCAAATAAGAGTTATTTCATCTCATGCAGTTGGCTTCACGATGCTAATGCTGAGAAGAATTCAGATTTTGAGACAGAATTGAACCAGATGAGTAGAAGACCATGATAGAGTTCACAAATGCTTAAACAAAACTTCAGATCTTTCATAAATCGCAACTATGCACACACAAAACACAGTACATATGAACTTTGTCTCCTCAATTAGTCTAGTGAAAGAAATGGAAACTAAGGAGAGGATCAACAACTGGTAAATATGTCAGAGCCTAAGGTCAGTCTTTAACTGTAATGTCATTGTCTAACACTACAATAGCATGCATTGAGTAACTTAGGCACATCTACGTGGTTTAAGAAAGCAACCAAGTACAAGTCCGAGCAAATACAAATGATATCTACAGAAACGCACACACACAGAGAGAACCTCATATGGTATGGCATGTTAAACAATAGTATTAAGCAAAACCCAATTGAAATTCAAAAGAAGAAAAAAATCATTTAAGTCCAATAAACATCCAATACAAAATTGAAAAGTATCGCATTGCAATTGAATGGATAAGCAGCATACCGTCCAATTATGGGTCTTGTTTAATCTTCTTGAAAGAGCATGAATGCAATAAGCAACATCCGCTCGTGGCCTAATTGCCGATGTGGCAATCAGGATTTCTGCATCCAATACACCCCCAAAAAAAGAATCAATATTTCGCTAAAAAATAAACGACCCATTTGATAAATGAAACGAACAAAAGAATGGATCTGAAAATCAGAAATAGAAAAGAAAAGAAAGAACTGACTTCTGAGATGTCTCTCCTTGGGCGGGCACTCGACGTGGTTAGTGGCTTTGACTATAGCAACATCCAAATCCTATTCTTAGAACACAGAATCCAAAATCAAAATCCAATTTAGATAACAAAAATCTAAGTTTTTTTTAAAAATAAATTAGATAAAAGAAAGGAATGTTACCGCGTAATCGCTGTTGACGTGGGCAAGGCCGACTTTGGTGGTGTCTTTGAGAGCCCCGTAGGCTTTTCTCCACGTCTGAAGCGTCCCCATTTCTCTACTACTATACCCAAACTGCTTCGCCGCTCAGATCGCGGTCTTTCTTTCTCTCTCTCTAGAAGAATGCACTGACCTGGCTTTCAGACCTTGTTTCTCTCTTCTTCTCTCTCTCTCCCTGTGGCTCCGATGCTTTGGGGACGAGAGGGAAAGCGATGGACTCGATGGAATGCGATGGAAAGAATTCAAGAAAGACAGCCTGCAAAGTAGAAGAGAAGAGACGCACTCATACGGCGTCGTCTTTAATTCGAGTTTTTCCGTTTTATTCTTGGCCTTATTTTTTGAGGAGAGACGAGTGTTTTTTCCTTTTTTGCCTTTTTTGGGTTTTATGAAATTATGAAAGAGGGGCGTTGGCTTTTGGCGGCCCCCTGCCTGCTTCGGTTCGGTGTGTGCGTCACCATTCACATATAATATAATTAGTGTGCCACTTTTACCGCAATTACAAGTAACGAATATATACTTTTGTTATAATTAGTGTCTCCTTATTATATAGCATTCATATATATTTTTGTTTATCTCAATGCACATTTACCACAATATTATTTTTATCATAGGCTTTCTATTATTAAGGAGTTCCAACTTTTATCTGATTCAGTCAACTTGTATCAAGTCGTGAATGCGCCTTTTATTTATTTATTTAATAAGAATGAACGCATGAATAATGAGACCCGGACTGAGTGCATATGATCCAACTCATATATTATATTGTAATTTGTAACAAATTATTAAAAAAATATTCAGACACTAGTTTCTGAGAAGCTGGTGATGAAGAAGAAGCAGAGCTTTAGCTGTAGGCATAGCTGGACCAAGAAAAATGAGAGCCTCTGAAATGAAAGATGCTGCAGAGCAGTCTGTCTGCACCTGCATCTTGCTCTCTTCCTGCCACATGCCACCCAGCTTGGTTTAATTTTCCTACGGGATCCCGCCCGCACACCACGGGAATAGATTGTTTTGTTCCCAAAGATTCTGCATCTAGAACAACTGTTGAACATAAATTTTCCAACACTCAAAAGAAAATATTTGACCAAATAAAATTCGTAGGTGGTGCGCTCACCAACAAATTGATTTAATCAATCAATCCTTGAGCTAGGTCAACGAAGAACAATTGTTCCACAGTCTCTTGAACTATCTGGTTGGTTGGTCTATATGCAATCAAAGCCTTTTAATCTTGTGGGGCAAGTCAGAGGTTATGAGCTTGGTGAATTATATTTCATTCATTGATAAGAAAAGATGCTGTAAAACAGCTGAGAGCACTCGTCCTACCAATCTACACACAGAGCATTTGTATTGACTGTTGAAAATTTGAAGTAAAATTTATTCACATAATGAGGTCATTAATAAATGGGGAGTTTAGCTTGATGGTCCCAGAGGCCACTAGGAGTGAGAAACTCCAAATTGGTAGCAACCACAGAAACACAAACTTCAGAATTTTCTTGCCTGCAAAAACAAAAAACAAAGAGATAACTCCAGTTAGTAGCTGACAATCCCAGATTCAGCATCATTCATTCATTCATTGATATTGTTCAATACCTACGTCCATTGATTCAATGATTCTAAGATTGTCTCTCTAATTTAAAGGGTAACTCACTTTCAACATTATGGTTTTGTGGTTTTGTGAGCTTAGTAATTCAAAGGAGAAGAACACCAATCAAGGGTTCCACCATTGTTGACTTTCTGAAAAGGATCAACTTAAGTGTGGCTTTGCCAAAACTTGAATGATTAGACTGTTTGATACTGAAATTTCAACAAGTGCCTGTAGAAGCAGTGTCATCTTCATCATCAAGTAGAAAACTTTCATATAATTAGCTTACACATCCTTCGTTAGTGACAGATATCCCTTTTTAACAAAAACAAGCTGAAAAGAAAATGATTACCGGACAAACGGAAGCCTCTTTCAGTTTATTGGTTATCCACTCTCCTGTCTCGCGAAGCTTCTTCTCCACTGGCCCTTCAAACTTGCTAGGAAAGTTCATCATTGACATGTCGAATTTAGCATTCTTCTGTTCTTCCAAATCCCTGAATATGTACATCAGAAACCTCAAAATTCAGAACCACAAACTCATGAAATACCCCCAAACTTAGCCCAACACATTTTTAAATAAAACGAGCAAAACCCCTTTTCATTTTATCATCATAAATCTCAATCAATAAACGGAATTCAAAACTAAAAGTACAGTGGAAGTATACATATATGAACAAGACCAGCAGGGTCACCGTCACATTTCACACTTGGATGATGATGTTGATACTGAGATTCAAAATTGTAAGAGCAGGGAACAGCATACCTGGGGTCGGCATCACGAAATCTGCCGGCACCAATAGCACGTTCGATTTCGATGACAGAAGGCTGCCTTGGCTTGCGTTGTGGTTGGTTTTGCTGCTTCTTTCTTGGTAGAACTGTTGGGGTCTGGTTTCTGCTGCTCAATGGAGGTTTGGTGGGATTGGCTTGGAGAGGTGGTGGAGGTGGTGGTGAGCCATTGTTGTTGTTGTTGTTGGAAAGGGAAGCATGAACAAGGTTTTTGGTTAGGGAAAGGCAAGAGGATAAGCTAGACATGGTGGGTGGTGGTCTGGTATTCTCACCGTTATGTCAGTTAGCCTGGTCCAACTGATAAATATCTTCGGAAAATTAAAATAATGTAAACATGAGAATGACACAGGAGCACGAAGTTTTATAAACTGACGTAGTTGTCAGACCAAAGGAAAAGCCAGCAATTCTTCAAAATGAGTGAGAGTTTTAGCCTAATATTTAAGTTTGGCGACATTTTCTAGTGGGGAGAATTTAATGGACCAGCCTCAATTGGCTCATAACAAATCATCTCATCATCATCTGGGGTGTAAATTAACAAACAAAACTTTTCATTCATCTGCTTAGTATACCATGGACAAGAAGTTGAATTCCAATCTAGGCATATGAAGGGGGCATCATCAGCTGCCCTGGTACTAAAACAATTAGATTAGTTTTAGTGAGTCAACCTTACCCATCAATTTAAGGGTATATTCATTCAGATCTATGAAACTTTTGAGCGAAAACATATCACTATGAAGTATGCACTCTTCAATGGCTTCAGAACAGTGCAAAAATGGAAAATTCTAAGCAAAATATCATGTCGTAAGTACAGAGTTTGACACTGCCTCCTCATGTAGGTAGAGTCCTCAGCAAACGAAGTGCCCGGGTCCACTGTGGTCTTTGTGATAGAACAATTCTCCTCAAAACCGGCACTGCTCCAGCAGCTACAATAGCCGAATGATTCTCACTGTCCATGCTCAGATTATACAATATTGCCAAACATGCATCAATGGCCCTCTCACTCCCTTCTTCAATCAGTTTCACCAACGGAAATATGCCTCCCTCGGAAGCAATGGCTCGAGTGGAATCAACCACCCCTTCAGAGATTATTCTGTTGAGTTCTACAACAGCAGCTTCCTTTGCTTCTGGAGAGAAAGAGGTTTTGATCTGCTCCATGAGTCTTGGAATGGTCTCGTAAAGAGTTACTTCCATGTTGATTGGGTCCTCGAAACCTAGCCTGGGACCAGAAAGAGAACCAAGTTTCACCAAACAAGCAGCAACCCAATCTTTGTTGTTAAGGGGGATATTAGACTCCAGGATATTGCAGAGCAATTTGGTGAAATGGGCGGAATCTATTTTTTGGCAGAAGTTCTCAGAGTCTAGCAGTCTAGTAAATAACCGGGATGCTGCTGATATAGCAAGACCAGCTTCTTCAACTTCAAGGGCATATTTTTCTGGCTGCTGATTAACTACTTCAGATTCGATGTCTGCTAAATACCGCATACCAAAAAAAAGAAGGTATAGTTAATCAAATCTGAAAACAAGCACTATTCTTACTTCTTCGTACCATATGATAAACAGTATTTCAGCTTTTACACGCAATCTTCTACGAAAATCAAATATTCAATTTCAAGTTTATTTAAAAACAACTGTAATCATATCTCAATGGAGGCATTTGTGCCTACAAGCTGAAGAAGCAATACATTAGTGCTTTTCAAGCCCATTGCTAAATTCTAAATGAAATTCATTAAAAAACTTCCAATACCTTCAAGAATCTTTTGTTGGAAAACGACATCCAAACCAGATTCTACATCCACTGAAATGATGGTTTCCATCCTTGGGTCAATAACTGTACAGAACTCGAGGATTGAAGCAGCTTTTCTTTGTAATCTTGGGGTTGTGGTCTTCAATATCTCAACCAGGTGAGCAATCACCCCAAAGTCGAGCACACTTTCCCTATACAGACATAATTGTGACTTTACTTGGTCTTTTTTTCAAGAAGGACGAGGAAAGCAGGGCCTCAAAACAATGAACCACAAAGAGAATTTGGTGATATGGAAGGCAAACATTTGCATTCTGCTCATTTTATTCTTCCTTGGCTTATCATGGAACACGAAGCTATGATAGCAACCTTTCACCTTTAACATATAATATAATGGAAAAAAGGAAAAGTTCCAATAATTTTAAGCAACAAAAAAGAACACAGAAAATACAAAGGAGGGGAGATGGAACCTGGGATTTGTTTTTGATACACATTTATGAGCTGCATCTGCAGTTATTGCTGCAGCCGACCCCTCTTTTGATCCATTTACTGGGCCATCATAAAACTGGAATGAATGAACATATCCGGTAAGTCAATTGATAACTAAATCTAAAAGGTTTCAAAGATCTTATCAAGAAACTATTGGCCAACCTTCGACTTCATTTCTTTACTTGGATCTAAGATCCGGGCAAGAATATCAAGGGTCTGCATTACAGCAATTATTCACATGATCAGCTTAAACTAGAATCATTTCCCAGAAGATTTGTGGATAGACTAGAAGTAACATGATGAATGACCTTTTCCATCAAGATTTCAGGGATCTTTGGTTGCTTTAAAACATTAATCAAAGGATCTATAACACCTTCAGCTTCAATTATCTGGCAAACACCGTTGCTGCATCAAGCAAAACAAGATCCTATTAGCATGAAGTATGGTGTCAAACATTAATTGCTCTGTATAATTTTGAAAGACTGTTCACCCTGTTAATTTAGGTTTTAAAAATATTTGAGTTTCATTCAAAAAAACCCAGAATCAGAGACTTGAAAACAGTGAATGATTTATTACCTGACAGACAACTTCTCTAGAGCTCGAGTAACTGCCAGTATAACAGCATCATTCTTACTGTCTAGATGTTGTACTAAAGGCTTAACTGCCCCAGCTTCCTTGAATGCAATCCGTATATGTTCATTGATAGATGTGTCAGCAATTGACTCTGCAGCTCTTGCTATTGCTGACTCATCTTCAAGTCCAAGAATCAAAACTAATCTAGCCACACCGTCCATCCATGGCAAAAGTGTGAGTCGTTTACCAGTGGTTGCTTCAGATTGATTCTTTCCATCTTCCAGCTCAATGGCCCCAATACGAGCAAGAAACTGCTGCTGTGTCCGTCCAACAATTGCATTCATCTTGGCTTCCTCTATGTTTACATTCTTGTCATCAACATTTAATCCAAGGAGTAATTCAGAGGCACCAAACCTGGAAGGAGTTTTAGAAGTCTGTTCAATCTCCGTACCATCTGGTAATCTTGGCCATGAATACAAACCGGGTCTGAAGGACTTATAAGCAGCTGCACCAATCATGGGGACTGGAACCAGACCTTCCTCTACAATAAGGATTCTGTAATATTCATCCTTACATAGTTCCAACAAAGCATTTCTTGCCTCCTTTCTAATTACTTTAGATCCTTCAATGTCAGTCCTTAAGAGCTTTGCCTGCATTAATAAAGAAAATTATATCATAATCAAGCATTTAAAAAAGGAGGCATCCCTAACTATGATTTATAGATTGAATTGCTCAACCTTTGTTTAACATGTGATGCATACAAGACAATCCCAAATTGACTACTACATATCAAGTACCACTGACAACGAAAACCAGCGTACTTACCTAAAGCCATTTGATCCAACTTGAAAACTAAATCATACTAGCAACAAAGAATGGTAGAGGAAGTCTCACCAATTTTGGTATAACACCTGCTTCAACCATAATGCTGTGATTAAAGTGGCTTAATGCCAAATTGGCCAGCACCCCGCCTGCTGCTTCCTTCAACTTTATGTCCTCATCATCCATGGACTTCACAAGCAACGGCAAGACATCACTGTTTGCAATTTTTAATCTGAACTTCTCATCCACAGACAAGTTCCACAGAGCACTTATAGCTTGCTCCTTCACCTGCAGAAATGTTATAACAACCAACCTCACTTTTCTACATCAAGAAAATGAGGAAAGCAATTCCACTGATGAAATACCCCATCATATACCTCAGGAGACAAAGAAGGTCGATTTAGCAACCCAGTGATCTCTTCAATTGCTCCACTTTGTGCTACCACATCTCTATACACGTTAACTAGAGATATTGATCTCAAAAGACCAGCAGCAGCTTCACATGTAGAACTGGTGTCTGACCTTAGTAAGTTTACAATGAGATTTATGCAGCCAGGAAACTGCATAATGGCATCAACACACTTCTTTCCTCCAAGTGAATATTTCCAGAGTGCCACTACTGCCTGTTCTCTATCAAGAGAATCATGGTCCAGCCCAAGCATCCGAATAAACAAGGCAACATAACCATCACCCAAAGAACTAGATTTCATTTCTTCGGTATCCTTAAATAATAAGTGGCAAGAATCAGATTAACAATTTTTCCTCTTCATGAAATATGTTAATCACCAAAAATACAATTACTGATAATAATGAAAGTATGGGAATGAGAACTTACAGTGGGAGTATACTGTTGTGGGGTGGCATCAGCCGCACCACCACCACCACTACCACTGACCCTTGTGAGAACTGTATGAAAAGATCGTGATTTGGGGTTAAGGCTTTGGAAATGGGTTGAAGAAAAGAAGGGTCTTGGCCTTCTGTTTCTGGGTTTTGTGGTTTCAGCTGAAATGACTTCCATGTGGGTGTTTGAGATTGAGGGTAACGCTTGGAGGAGATGAGGTAGTTTGACTGCCAAGGATGCTTGGGCTGCTGTTGCCAACATTTTGGCCGATTGAAATAGAAATTGGAAGTTGCAGTCAGTTTTCGGGTTTTAGAAGAGGTTTTCCAGTTGGTTCCATTCAAGACTCAATCTTTAGATGGTCTGGTTTTTGGGGTTTTTCATTTTTTATTTATTTTTGGTATTCTAATGATATTTCGGCTTACTTGCCAAAAAAATTATGCAATTTGTGCGAATGGACTTGATTGAATCTGACTAACACGTGGCACTAATACATATATATAATTATCTTATTTATTCTTCTTTTTTCAATTTTATTCGTTAAGAAATTCCATGCATTTTCTGCCATGAAACTGAATTCGTAAAGATAAGAACACGCACACAGAAAGCTCTAAAATGAGCTGTTCATTCACCTTCCAAATTCCCCAGGCTTTGCCTTCTCTTAGCCATCCACGACGTACTTCTGTCACAATCACTTCTCAGCACAGACAGTCCTATGATCCTAAGCCTGAAAAGGTATGCTTTTTTATTCTGTAAATTCCATTCAACTTTTTCCCAGTATAGTTTCATAAGTTTCATTGAGCTCTGATTAAAGATCCCAACTTTTTCTATTTCAGACAGTCATCACAAGCATCTTTCAAAACCCAGCTGACTATTTTCACCTAAAGAAGTCTAGTCTGGCAATTCAAGTTGGAGCAGTTTTGGCCACTGTAAGACACTCATCATCTCTGCTTCTGCTTCTTCTTCTAATCTGCTTACCCTTTTGAAATTATTAAGGTAATAATAAACTCCATGGGAACTCTCTCTGTTAGCAGATTGAGCAGCCTGCATTTGCTGTCACTGGTGTCAACTTTGAGGAAGATTTGACATGGGTTTTGATACAATCGGGAGTTATTGCCTTCTGGTACTTCCTTCTCATGCCAGTAAGTATATTTCCTTATCTTCATGCTTTCTTTCTTTGCGAGATCAAGCTTTTTTGCGCTTTCTATTTGTTGATGAACTCTAGAGGAACGCTTTTCTGTGATTGCAGCCAATCATCATGAACTGGCTTCGGATAAGGTGGTATAAGAGAAATCTCTTAGAGATGTATTTGCAGTTCATGTGTGTCTTCTTGTTCTTCCCAGGGTATAAGTGGCTCTGTCTCTTTTTTTTTCTTTCTTTATTTGGGTACAATTTAATTGCCATCGGAATCTTAGTCTTACTTACAATCTGTTTTGTTTCTCCAATTGTGCAGTGTACTTCTTTGGGCACCATTTCTGAACTTCAGGAAGTTCCCAAGGGATCCATCCATGAAGTACCCTTGGTCAACGCCGGAAGATCCTGACCAAGTTAAAGCTGGGTTTTTAAAATACCCATTTGCTGAACCCGAAGATTATTCATGAAAATGTAAAGACATCCTACGACAGGACATCTACAATTTAATAATCCTATGCGTGGCAATGACCAACACATGTAAACTACTTTGTTAAGGTTTATATATCTGTCTGTGCATATGACCAGTTTTTGCAATCTTACACCCGTTTGTGAAAAGCTGAGATTTAGAAAAATACACAAGAAAAGCATGAAGATGTGATATTCCCTCGCTTGACATAATAAATAATCAAATTTAAAACTCGAACGAATATAATAAATAATCAAAACTTTTATCTTCAAAATTCCTTTTGAATTGAAACACTAATCCGAGAATACAAATGTATCCATCTCAGCTCTCATTAACATATTGCTGGTACTGTAGATGTCAGAGGCGAATAACTTTATAAAAAAAAAGATCTAAACAGACATGAAAAGTTACACCAAAAACCAAAAGCCCGAAACAGCTTAAACCAACCAAATTAAACCTTCAAGCAAGTATTGACCTCCAACTACTACTAGTTTCGTATCCCTTTGAGACAAAAAGTATAAATAGAATTTCCCATCAGTTGCCACCTTATTATGGAGTAAATTAGATTACTTTCCTCATAACAAATTGATGCTTTGCACCATCAGCTTCTAAATTGCTTCACTCATCCTGCTAACCAAGGCCTTCCTTCAGTCAAAAAAAGAGCTGATAGTCACTCTTAGTTTCTCCAAATCCCAATCCCAAGACTCCATGTTTGGTGACATGACAGCGGCACCAACAGCCAAGGCAACGACAGCAAGGGCAACACTTTTCTTGCACCCGCTGCCCCGTGACGACTTCCCCAGTAATGTCTTACAATACTTGTCTGCATCCTTGATGAGTTTTTCCTGGTGGGCCTCATCCTCCCCACTGGCCAACATCTTCTCATTCTACAAGCAATAGTAGCATCCAAAGGGCATAAACAAGTTAAATACTTATATATAACTAAATCATCTATAAGTTCGGTAAGATAACGAAATCCACATAATAGCATTTGTGATGGTAAGTACTTTGATGGATAAGATTGCATATAATTATAGTGCAACTGGGGAAAAAACTACGCAAGGACTCCAAACAATAAGAAAAAAAGGGTTACCTTGTGCCTAAAACTTTTGAGAGTTTCCCTCATAGGATCAAAAGGAGTGAGTTTTGCAGAATGCTCTTTCCATTGATCAGAAAGCTTCTTCAGAACAGCAACACTCGCTTCTAAGTTTTCCTGGTAAACCTTGTCCTGTGAACATTTAATGCAAGACACAAAAATCAGATTGTTAAATTTACGAAATAAAGGCATAGAAGTGTGTTAGTTTTTCTCTATAATAGTCTTTGGGAAGAATGCAATTATGTCGATGAGAGGTAGAAAAGCTCACCCACTGCTTGAAGCAATCAGCATGTTGGGTCAAACACCAAATAAAAATTCCAGTTGCTTCGTTGGACAATGCAGGTATACCTGTAAGAAACAGCTACATGTTAATCCCATTTTAAGAACCCATGATTTTTCCTACTACTTAGAAAATAAACTACAATACACAGGAAGTCAAATTTGCTTACTTTCTCCTGCTGCTTTAACAGCAAAACTCAATATTTGCAGTGAAACTTGTTTCATCGCTTTGCTTCTAGGAGAGCCAGCTAGAGCCACTGCTTTTAGGGTCGGATATATAGCCTCAAACCTTTCGGTGGCCTATACAAAACATCATAGTTAAGAAGAATGAAACAACTAAATATTTCTATGAATAACTCACAATACAGTGAATTTCTGATTACCATTACCTTAACTCTAGCTGAAGGAGCAGGAAAGGTAACTCCAATAAGTATCTCAAATGCAGAAGGTGGTACCAAACGCTCTCCCTTCCTGACAGCACCATTTACTAAAATAGTCCGAGCTTTTGGTGTAGACAAAATTCTGCAACCAAATTAGCAGATTTTAAAGTTAAATAATGTAAAAGGAAAGTACGAATGCTTCAAAAAATAAGCATATTTTAATACCTTTCCGCTAGCTGCAAAATAAGATCCCGGGACTGTGGATTACTACCCTTTCCACTTACTAGAGGCAAAACAATGTGTGCCCATGCATGCAACCCAACAGCCAGGTCTCCTTGACTAGCCTGCATACAACATTTTTGACATCCAATAACATTTTTATAAGAAGCATAATAAGAGGGACAAACCTATAATTTTCTTTTATGAACAAAGATCAATACAAAAACTGTGTTATATTCTTATCCACTTACCTGAGATATTGCCCATACGATTACTGGAAGCTTATCTTGTCCTTGATACTTTGAATTTTCTCTCAATGTTGGCAATATACTAATCAATACATCAGGTTTTTTTCGCAATACCATTGCAACAACCACAAATATCGCAACCTGGGATTTGAATAAAGGTCAATTTTGCATAAGAAGTTCCATTTCACAAAACAAAGGCCAAAGTGGAGCTCAAGCAAGACATTGAACAATGTGATGGATGGACTTATTGAGTGCAAAAGAACACTTTCCAAATCACATGATAAGGAAATACATAAACTAATCGCTACATCATTCCATATGCAAATCAGAGAAAGGGATGACATTTATGAAGCTGTTATACAAGAAAACCCATCATCTTATGGAACAAACTCAACCTCTGGACATCAGCTTTCAACTTAAGAACATAAAATATCAAAAATTCATGGACAAGTAAAAGACAAAAGAGCGAGAGAGGAATTACCTGAGATTTTGATGAAACATTCTGTACACTCTTCTTGGAGCCCTTGGCACCAGCTACCTGACTCGCGAGGTCTGCAAGAATGCTGTCTAAAGACCATAATATAAAGGATCCAAGGGCCTCAAGGGAACGTTGGCTGATCCAGTCAACTGATGTCTTGTAAACGGCTTCAGAAATATGGGAAAGGGGGATCTGTTAAAGAATATACTAAGTGGTTAGGTTTCCAAGGCATATATATATATATATATATATATATGCACAAAATTACTTCTACCAATAAGTTACTAAGCCCTAGAAAAGAGGGGGTCATAAGCAAGAGAATGTTAGAAACATCATTTTTGCAAACCAGATAAAATGAAACTGGTAGGAAGATATATATGTAATTATGAAAAAGCAATTGATTTAGACCTCTTTATTATGTCAGTCAATGTCCCAAATGCCCTCAATAATATTAAGTTACTTTAGCTACCAATTTTCAATCGCAAGTATCATCTTTATCATCACATATGTCTTTTAGATTGATAGGTTCTGCATTCAACACGTGACAATAAAAAGTCATCGATGAGTACACAGAGAAGTGATGGAAAAATGTTGCACAACATTAAAATGTACATAGAGGACTAGACGTACTGCAACAATAATAAAGGTATTGCTACCATATCCACCAACTTATTTGCCTTCAAGGCACAAATACCACCTCATTATCAGAAACGATATGTACAAAATTGTTCTCTGGAAGAAGAGGAATAATATTTATAAGGAAGCATGCGGCTCAACACAGGGACTACAACGGAGAAGCCCCAGTTAAAAATAAATAAATAAACAAACAAACAGCCAATTGAACTAATCCCAACTAAAAAAATCCAGCAAGATCAAACAAAAGTTCAAATTTGTGCGAATAAATATCCAAAGAGAAAAGATAAAAGAACCTAATGGAAGCTACACCTCCCAAAAATTATCCATGAAAAAGGAAACAGGACACGGATAATTCGTCAACCTTAATCAAGATCCAAAAGAAATTTACTTTTTACACTTGAATGACCAAATTCCATTAGGATTGAATAATTAAATGTTGCTTTCCATGAAAATTGATGCCCTTGGTTTGTTTTTGTTTTGTTTTTTTACATTTGAAAAATAGAATGGAAAATAGCATAAAGCAAATACCTTTTAATCAATCAGGTATAGATATAAACTACTATGCCTGTTAATAATAAAATATAATTATAAAAAATAGAGAAAAACTTACATCGGCAAGCTTGGCCACCGTTGATTCCCTGAACATCTTCACCCATGGAAACTGCGCAGCAGTCACTGCAGAGAATGCACGGCCATAATAATCCGCAAACCGCATTAGCTGTATGTCCTCCTTCGACTCGTACGAAGCCTATTGCAAGCCGAAATTCAAATTAATTAAAAAGTTATAGAAACTTAGATAAAATTATTTACAAACGAATAGATCAAGCTAGATCAGAATCAAAACTCACCGAAATGTCAATGAGGAAGGCCGAGAGATCGTTTGCATCGTCGATCTTAGCTGCCGCCTCAGCGACCGTGACCTTAGGCTTCTTCGGCTTCTTAGGCTTCGACTTTTTCGCCTCCTCGGCCTTCACGTTCTGCGCCACAGATTCATCATCGCTGTCCTCCCCATCCTCATCGTCGGACCGGAGCTTCGATCTCACCGGAGCAAAACTGTCGGCGTCGGCATTGGCCGCCCTCTGGGCTTCAAGAATCCGGCGGCGTCGATCCTCCGATTGCTTCTCCAGGGAACGGAAAACGCCTTCTCCGCCAGCGATCGTGACGCCGGGGACGAGCTTATTGAGATTGTTGATTGAATCTGCCTTGGAGGGTTTGGCCTTCCTCTGGCGCTTTGCAGTGACCTTCTGCCAGCCATGGTCGTTGTTGGTATGGATATGGGTATTAAAATCGTTGGTGGTGGTTGCAGCCTCGTGGTCTCCGTTTGGGATTGATTCCAAAGCTGGGGCGTGATTTTCCTCCATGACTAATGCTGTTTTTGGCTTGAATTTTCTCTCACTTTCTAGGGAGAGAAATTGAAAGAAAGGAAAACAAAACTGAAACACGAGAGAGAAAGGAAGAGAAAGGAATTGAACTCCAGTTGTTGGGAACAAATTTAAGGCGTTGACTCGGTGAATTTGACCCTTGTTTTACACAGAATTACATCAATGCCAAGAATTGGAGAAATGCATTCCCATTCCCAATTCGTAATTCTGTCCCCGTTTTTATGATATCTCATCATCCAATCATCCGCTGATATTTACATTAATGACATGTTTTCTAATACTTAATTGAATTAGAAGTAATTAAATTAAAGATGAATTGAATTGATAAGGAGTTTTGAAAAAATAAAAAAATAAAAATTGAGGAGGAGTTGAATTGAGGGGAATTAAATTTTAAATTCTTATTGAAGTTGTTTATTAAACTATATGAATTGAGAGGAGTTAGATTCTGGATTCTTATTGAAGTTATTTATTAAATTATATGGAATTGGAGTAGGAGTAATACTAATTACTAAAATATCCTCATTGTTGAGTTAAAGTAGATGACAAATTTATAATTTTAAAATTTGTGTGGGGATATATGGATAAAAAAGATGAATTCATAATGGATTAGTTCTCGGGAATTAGAATACATCCTCCATATGTGGAATTCAATTCCTAATGAGAATTCCAATTCCTAATTAGTAAACATATCATAATTAATTAATTCATTGCTCACTAGTATTTTAGAATAATTCTCAACTCTGAATCCTAATCCTACTTATTTTAAGATCGTATATTCCTAATTTTGTGTTATACCCAAAATATAATAAAAGTTCATACAAATTCATGAATGTATTACTCTTTTTATAGAAATCCATAAAATTCATCCTTTAATAAAAGTTTTTCAAATTTCTCAAAAATACCAATTAACTACACCCCTTAGATTTTATAATCCCATTTATATGTTATGACGATTTCTTCTTTTCCTTTTTTCAAAATATTATGACAGTTTTCATAAGTATATAACTTTCTTTTTAGGCAAAAAGTCACTTTTAGTCTCTATGTTTTACCACTTTTACCACTTAGGTCCATATAGTTTCAATTTGATCATTTTTGCCCCTGTGATTTTTAATTTAAGCAATTCAAGGACAATTTCTAATTTATGTCAAATTAGAGTAAATGTCGTTACTTGTATAGGGGCATTTTTGTCCAAAAACAAAAGTTGGAAAAACAAGAAGAAAAAAAAAGGAAGAGAAAAAGAAGTCCTCAGCCACACCATCGTGTAAAAGCCTTTCATGTCGGATTTTTAGATGATGCGGACTCCTTGGAGGTTGGAGATGAACTTAAGAGTGGTTAAAGTGGTAAACGATGTGGACGAAGAAATTAAGGCAGGGGTTGCCGAAGGATAGTTAGGTGGGCAACTGGTTCTCTGTTCTTCCCATTGGGAGTGACCTTAGTGTGATCACTGCGTCGTTGAAATTGGCAACCATAAGGTCCACGAAGGGGTTGCTGGGTTTGGGTTTGGTACATTGGGGGTAATGCTATTGGGTTTAGTAGGTTGTTGGTTGGGTACATTGACAAGGGAAGGATCCAAAGAAATCTCATCTTTTACCTCCCTTGTTGCTGTATTTGTATCATATTTGTGAGAATGACACGAGATCCCTAGCATCCCTTTCAAATAAAGAGAGAGAGAGAGAGAGGAGAGAGAGAGAGAGAGAGAGAGAGAGAGGAGAGAGAGAGAGGAGAGAGAGAGAGAGAGAGAGATAGAGAGAGAGAGAGAGAGAGAGAGAGCGGCTCTCTTGGGTTTGAACCTTTATGGGTCTTGTGCAATTGGGTTATTAGATTTAGCAAAACCCACCTAGGACACAACCCTGTGAGCAATTTCCGCAATCCTCTACTCCTCAATATCATCATCCCAGGAGAAAGGAGATGGCTTGTAAAGGCAGAGCTGTTGGGCCAAGGCCAAAAGTCTCTGTGGCTAAGGATTTCTATCTCCCTTCTCTCTTTTTTAGCCTTTATTTTTGGACCGAAATGCCCCTCAACAAGTAACAACAGTTACTCTAATTTGACAAAAATTAAAGATTGTCCTTGAATGCTTAAATTGAAAACCACATGGGCAAAAAAGATCAAATTGAAATTACACGGACCTAGGTGGTAAAAATGGTAAACCACATGGACCAAAAGTACTTTTGCTTTCTTTTTATAAGCGATAGTGAGAAATAAATGACCTCACAACTCATGTGCACAATTAAATACTCTTAAACACTTGAACTTCAAGTTTATTGTCATGAGCCTATAACCCTAGCTACTAGGTATGGTACAAAAATATTTTATACTAACATTTTTGTAATAAAATCTTTTTTAAGTATGATTAATAAAGGCAACTAAAAGGATTGTTTAGAGCATCTGTAATGGTTAGGATTAATATTGCATGAAATTGAACTAAAACGGTAAAATCTCACTTGCAATGGTGTGATTAAATTCATTGTAATAGATGCAATTATAATAGGGGGTGCTATGTGATGAACCCTTTATTGAATTGCAATAGGCTAACTATGGGACCTACATGCCATTAAATTTAAACTATTGAAATGTACCATGGTAAATAAAACTACATTTTAATTCAATAAAGGCTTACTTACTGTAGTATCCCCTGAAATTTTGATCAATTCTCACTTTGCCACCGAAGTTAAAATGACCCACTTAATCCCCTTGACTATGGTTTGGTATTCCACTTTACCCCTTACTGTCAACTCCATCCAAAATTATGTTAAAATTGTTGACTTAGTAGGGGTATTTTAGTCATTTCCAACACATAAGTTATTTACCCACCAATCTGATAAGGCAAAGTGAATCACACATCCACAAGTGGTCGCTCTCTCGTTCACGCAAGGAGAGCCTTGACGGCTAGGGTTAGGGTTTCTCCAGTTTTCTTTACTCATTCTTTAAGTTGTCTCTCTTAGTCTTCTCTAATTGTCTCTTTGGGTTTTTCTTGGTGAATTGGGTACAACGTTTTTTTGTTGTTGCTCTTTTGTTCTCCGTGGGGTGGCTGCATTGGCTTCATTTCTAGGTTCCTAAGGAGCCAATCGGTGGTGAGGGGTCTCCATCTTAAAGCTATGGAGGTGGCCATCATCTCTTCTGCTCAAGGGGATGACAAGTATGCGTCACCAAGTAGGACTTAGAAGCATGCGAAAATTGATGTTGGGCATCTAATTGTTAGTGGCATGGATTTTTTTGGTAAGCATAGTTTTTGTATCGAGGATTTTGTTGACAATGCGGAGTAGACCAGCCTCGAGGGGTCTCCAAGATCTCCCTACTAATTCTCCTATGGAATGTTTGTGGGCTTGGAAACCGATGAACGTTCATACTATGAATATCTTTCTTCGAAATTTTCTTCAGGCTAAGAGGGCAATTTTGGTCTCCTTGCTTATCAGCTGGGGTTCTAGATCAAGAAAATTAGAGGTGGCGGTTGGAGTTTGGCTGGATCTGTTATGATGCTCACAATACGTTTTTGACCCTGTACGAAGAACTATGATACTTTCTTTAGATCATAGGAAGCTTTCTTTGACAGAATCTATGTAGTGTTGGGATATAATTCAATGGTTTTGCGGTTGGGTGATTAACTGGATCTATTATGATACCCATAGTACGTTTTTGACTCTGTACGAAGAACTATGATGCATTTTTTATATCATAGGATGACTTCTTTGACAGTACCTACGTAGTGATGGGATGTTGTTTTAAGGGTTTTGTGGTTGGGTTTTAGGTTGGTTTGTTTCGTATAAGTTGTTTGACTCTTCTGTTTAGTCAATAGCATGGATGGTACTCTTTCCTATCCCGAAATTTTGTTTCTCTGGGAAGGGTTTAACGACGCCGCCATTAACATGCTAGTTCTTACCATGTAATATTCCTTTCGATTTAATGAAATACCATCTTTTCTATAATAATAATAAAATAAAAAAATAATAATAATAATAATAATAATAATAATCACACATCCACCACGGACCAAAAAAACGAATAAAAAATTTCTTTACCTTTAAAAAATAAAAAAATCAACTACACACCATAATTACACAATAAAAAAATTTAAATAATTAATTACTCAGCCTATCTCTATCTTCTTTTCTTTCTCCTTTACACGCTTCTTACTGGGTGGATGTGATGGAACAAATTGGTCTTCAAGTGGAATTCTTGTTTTTAGGTGTCTTTGGATTTTAAAGGTCTTTAAGTGTAGTTTATTTGGTTTTCTTCTTGATTTGCAAAAAAGGTTCTAAAAATGCATATGTACTAGCCAACTGGTAAGAGAAGAGTTGGGGATATGAAGTTTGATGTGGGTAGTGGTGGCCAAGTTCTAGATTTGAACACTACAGTGAAAAATGGGATTTTGGGTGGTAGAGATGGGTTAATTTGTGGCGGTGGTGTTGATGTTGTGGCTGAAAAATTGGATATGAAGAAGATGATTGAAGAACTTGAGGCCATTGAGATGGGCTAACCCTCATCGATGATGCGGCGAGTGGGGCACTTGCTAACGAGTTTCTTCGTCTTGGATCTAGCTCGACTCTATCTTTCTTGAATAAATATGCCTTGTCGGCTAAAAGGGAGAAAGAGAAAGACGGGAAGAGAGGGGTGGTTGGGGAGGGGCTGGAGTTAGGGATGGGAAAGCAGCTAGGGTTGGGTTGGTGCTGTTGAGGGAGGTTGGGAAATTGATTTTGTAATTGATTTTTTATATATATATTTTTCATGTTTGATGTGCGATCCACTTGGCCTTATCAGATTGATGAGTAAATAACCCATGTGTTGAAAATGACTAAAATATCCCTGCCACGTAATTTTAACAGAATTTTGAATGAAGTTTACGGTAAGGGATAAAATGGAACACAAAATCATGGTCAAGGGGGTTAAGTGGGTCACTTTAACTTTCAAGGGGGAAATGAGATTTGACCAAAGTTTCAAAGGGTACTACATTAAATAAGCCTTCAATAAATGCCAAAATAATT